TAGTATTCCATTGTGCAGACATACCACAGTTTGTCCATTTATTAGTTGAACATTTAGGTAGTTTTCAAGTTTGGGCTCTTATGAATAAAGCTACTATAACACTTTGCGGGTTGTTATGTGGATATGTTTTCATGTCATCTAGGTGTCCTGTTGGGTCATATGGTAACTGTATATTTAACTTTAAGAAAAAAAACCAAAAAACTTTTTCCAAAGTGGCTATACTATTTTGCATTCCCCCCAGAATTCCAGTTACCTACCACTTTTCTAGCACTTAACGTTGTTAGGTGTTTTCTGGGTGTTGTTTTGTTTTAAGCCATCCTAAATATGTACTGGTATTTCACGGAGGATTTGATTTGTGTTTTCCTAATGACTAATGATATGGGGCCTCTTCAGATTCTTGTCACATGTATGTCTTTGATGAAGTGACCATTCAAATATTTAGCCCATTTTTAAATTGGATTTTTTTAAATGGTTTTGAGAGTTTTAAATTATTTTTAAAAACATTTTAAAATATGTTCTAAATATGTCATAAGTCAGGTATGTAATTTGCAAACCTTTTCTTCCTTATACTATTTGATAAAATGGGGATATGCATAAAACATTTTTGCTGTATTGTGAAATAAGATAGTTGTCTCTAGGAAAAACAGTTCTGTGGTTAAATTGTGAACTGAAATAGCTCTCTCTCCACTCAACAGAATCTCATTTTTACTTGACAGAATGACTGACAAAGTGGTTACTCAAATTGCATGTCTCCTCAAATTTCAGCATTATGTAAAAATTCTTGAGATATTTTCTCCAAAGTGAATGAGGTGAACCTGCCACTTCATGGGAGACAACTAATAGTGTTTTTACCAGTGGTAAAATTAGAGCCTTTAAAAAAAAAAGAAAGAAACAGAATTTCAGGAAGTTTATGTCAACTACTGTGATCTCAGGACCTAAGATTCCCATTACTTAAAGTTCTTCTGATGAGATTGGTGGAGGCAGTAACAAATATGATTTTGGATATTGTATGATTAAATGAGTTGACATTTGAAAGTCTGTGGTACTCAGTAAACCAACACATTACAAATGACCAATATATGCTATTTTACAGAAAGTTATCCATGGATAGAAAAGATCCATTCAAAGTGTAAGATAGACCAATAGAATATAAGCTAGGAGAATTCAGAAGTTCTTTAATACAGTTTCAGATTCTACATTGCAACCAACCTTTAAGACATGTCAAATTCTGGTAAACTGCCAAAAAAGCACCCGTAATTATATTAAAAGACTATTAAAATACTCCTTCCTGTTCTACCTAAGTATCTGTATGAGGCTGAGTTCTCATCATATGCTTCAACTGAAACGTGTATCAAAAGACTGAATACAGAAAGTATATGCATCCCACTATCAGATTTGTTTTATTGGTTTTTTGGTTTTGTCTTTTTGAGACAGGATCTCACTATGCAGTTGAGGCTGGCCTTGGACTTACTTTGTAGACCCTCTGGTCTCGAACTCACAGCATTCCTCCTACCTCATTCTCCCCAGTGCTGGGATTACAGGCGTGCGCCACCATGCCTAGCAGATTTGTTTTGTTTTGTTTTTGTTTTTTGTTGCTGAGAATCAAACTCAGGACCTTGAGCCTGCCAGGCAGCAGCTATCAGATAATAAAGAAATTTCTAAAAATGTGAAACAGTGACATTCTTCTCTCTAAATTTTGTTTTAAAATTTAGTTTTTATATAACATGTAAATTCACTTTTAATTAATAAATGTTTTAAATATGTTTGAATTTCTGCTATGATAAATAGCAGTATATAAAGTCTAATAATTTTGAAGAGTACAGCGGAGTCCAGGGATGAAACAAGATTACAGACTGCGGCATAGAATTTAATTTCATTGTTATCATTGTACACTGGTGCTAGAGACTATAACGTGCCATAGTCACATTTCTTGGTTCTTTGACAATTCTAGTTTTTTTTTTTTTTGGTATCAGAATTGAACTCAGGACTTTGCGCTTGCCAGGCAGGCACTTGTGCCACTGAGCTATATCCCCAGACTGTGATAATTCTAGTTTTCAAAATGGAATTTACGTTGACTTAACAGAATTGAGAAATACCTATATGGTATCGTTACAGCCAAGTGTGATGGTGTACATCTGTAATCCAAGCACTCTGAGGCAGGAGGATTGCCGTGAGTTTAAGGCCAGCCTGGACTACATAGCGAGTTCAGGGCCAGCTTAACTATAAAGTGAGACCCTGTTGTTTTTTTTTCTTTCTTTTTATTTTTGGTGCTGGGAATCAAACTTAAGACCTTGTGCTTGCCAGGCAGGCACCTGTGCCACTGAGCTATATCCCTAGCCCAAGACCCTGTTTTAAAACAAAAAAATCATTACAGATTCGTTCTTTAACTCTGCCTTCCATTATCATAGATGATATTAAACACTTACAAATAAACCAGGTATCTCACATTGTGGGATATGTCCCTCTTTTTCCACCAAATTAGTCAGATACATCAATAAAGAATAAAGACAAGGGGCTGGGGATATAGCTCAGCGGCATAAGCACCTGCCTGGCAAGCGCAACATTCTGAGTTCGATTCCCGGTACCAGAAAAAAAAAAAAAAAAAAAAAAACTATTAAAAAAAAAAATAAAGATAGCTTACATCTCACTTCTTCCTCCTTTTACCTTAAACACAGTTTCTTGTTAGCATGGAACACATAAACTGGATGTGACCATCCCTTGATACTCTTCGTGGACCACATAGCTCACTGATTTATTCTCTCCAGCCCTACTAGCTATGTTCTTTTGCTATCTCTCTCTCTCTTTTTTTTTTGTGTTTTTGAGACAAGGTCTCACTATGCAGTTCAGGCTGGCCTTGAGCTCACTTTGTAGCCCAGGCTCGTCTCAAACTTGCAGCGGTCCTCCTGCTTCAGCTTCGCGAGTGCTGAGATTACAGGCGTGCACCACCACACCTGGCTGCATTCTCTCTTTAAAGTTCAGCTTTTTGGCTGTCATCAGTCTGCCATGGACCTGTGTGGTGTGATCAGAAAATATGGTCAACATTTAAAACATTTTTAAGTGTATTATAATAAAAAATACATTGCTATTTAATCCCCTCACAATACTCCCCCTTGCTTTATACACACTTACCTCATCATTCTTGCCACTTTCTGGAACAGTTCTGAAGTCCTCTGTAATGAGGGCATTCAGTTGTGCTGTCCTGGCTGCCTAGATGTCCTGAAACAATTCAAAACTTTGTCATCCGTGGATGTCTGGACTTTGGGGAGGAGTTAAAAGTCATATAGTGCCTCGTCAGTTGAATAAGGTGGATGAAAACGTATTTTAAGTTTTTTGTTTGTTTTTTTGAGACAGGGTCTCACTATGTAGTTCAGGCTGATCTTAAACTCACCATGTAGCCCGGGCTGGCCTTGAACTCACAGAGATCCTCCGGCCTTCACCTTCTAAGTGTTGGGATTACAGGTGTGCACCACAACGCCTGGCTGTAATTGCTGTAAACATTTTGAATTGATCTAGGTCACCAAGGAAGCACCCCCCCCAAATAAAAAAAAAAAGAGAATTTACAGAACTATTTCAGAAAGTGGCAAGAATGATGGGATGAGTGTTTAAAGCGAGGGGTACTTTGAAAAGGGAGTAATGGCAATGTGTCTTTTACTATAAAACATTTTTAACTTTTTATTTAAACATTCACTGTGGTTTTTTTTAATCATACCTCATAAATATTGTAAAATGGTTTTCTTCTTTTTAGTTTGTGCTTTCTCATTTCTCGCCTGGTACTTGAAATGTCAAAGGGAATAGGATCATGTAAATTCTGTCTTAAAATTAAAGCCATAGACAACCAACACTCAGATCAGCTAGAACACATTTTTGTGTTGTTTGTTCCAAAAGAATTGGTTAAAAAATTATAGCATCAGGGGCTGGGGATTTAGCTCAGCGGCAAAAAGCACCTGCCAGGCATGCGCAAGGTCGTGAGTTCGGTTCCCGGTACCGGAGAAAAACCAAAAAAAAAAAAAAAAATTATAGCATCAAAACAGTTCTCTTAGTTTGGGAAGAGTGGGGATGTTATCTTTGTACATGAGAGACCGTATGATTCTAAAGTGCTTCTCCTTGGCTTTTCTATGCAGTGGTTGTTAGAATATAACATTTAAATGATGCTGGAGGAGGGAGTTCTTAAAGCCTTGTAACTGTATTTAATCTAAAAATATGCTAGATGAGCTGGGTGTGGTAGCATATGCCTATAATCCTAGCACTCTGAAAGGCTGAGTCAGGAGGATTGCAAGTTTGTACCCTGCCTGGGCATTTTAGCAATTTATCAAGACCCTGTCTGAATATAAAAAAAAATATATAAAAAGGAGAGTAGGTTGGAGATGTGCTTAGTGCCAAGGTCATAGTACTGCCAGAAAAGAAAGAAAGAGGCGGGGCTGAGGATTTAGCTCAGCGGCACAACACCTGACTAGCAAGCGCAAGGTC